AAAAAAAAAAAAAACACATCATGGTAAAATTAATACCTTCTCAGCTTCGCATCGAAGCTAAAAATCGGTTGCCAATTGTCTGAATGCCGTGGCCTATCTATGTGTATTTAATCTATGACTGACATTAGTTAATTATCTTTTTTTTATGATTCGACATAATCACGGTTACACCCCAAATAAGATGAAATTTTATCTTATCTGTGGTTTACCACAGGCTATATGAAAACAGATAGTTCACTTGTCCCAAAAACAAAACTGTGCTTTGATTGGCAGTAGAAAAATCAGTGCAACCATATGTATTAGTGCAAAAATTATTTTAATTAATTTTATTATTAAATCTGCTGTAACATAAAAGTTATGAAATTCCGTAAAAAACATGATTATTGAAATAACTTATTTTAATACATCATTAAATTAAGGTATTAAACCCATATCTCTCATTTAGCTTTATTTATTACCTTTTCATGATTAAAAATCCCTAAATTAGTCATGAAAATTAAGTAATTCTCACTTTTTATAATGTAAATTATTAACTACGTAAATTTAACTTAAACAGTTACAATTGTATTTGTTTCTGTATACGAATACAAATTAAGAGGGCTATAGATGCGGGCTTCCTATTTTAGTGGGCTTTGAGGTAAAATTTCTATAGGAGAAGAAACTGGTAGTAATTGGAATCAATTTTATATGTTATAATTAATTACGTACTATCCGGACAATATAATGATTTGCGAAGCCCTGGATAAATTTACATTCCAACAATTTGAACTATCTAAACCCCCTGCAAAATTAGGAGGTCTAGATAACCCAAATACATTTACTTATGTACAACAATAAACTTGGTTCACTGAAAATAATCCATGGGTCCCTTTCAACAAATAACTTATAACAAGAATAATAATAATTAAAAAATAAAAATTGTAAAGTTTTCATTTAATTATTTATTATATCTAAAATAATTAAAATTTTATAAAAAATATAGTACTATTAACAGTTTTTGTATTATTCATAACAATTTTATATTTAATTTTAGATAACATAATTTTTCAAAGACAGCAGGAAATCATAGAACGTTGTTAAACTTCTGGACCTTCAACTCCCTATCAGAGAATGCATCACTTGATGAAAGTGGCTATGAATCTCCAGCATCATCAAGTGATTCGATCATTCAAACTCCATTATACTTATTAAATAATACTCCAAGGAAGCTGAAATTGAAGACAAAACTACAATCAGAAAAACGGGTAAAACTATTGCTGATTTAACTGATCAACTTTCTAGGTATGACACAGTAGAAAATTATATATGACTAAGTAAAAAATATTTATCACCGGCATTATTTATAATTGTTAAATCTTACACAAACTTAAAGAACAAGAAAAAAGAAGGATATTATTATAATAATGAAATTAAATAATTAGCTTTACATATTTATTTTTTAGGTGCCGATCCCAAGTAGTCGCGATTAAAGCGAGGAAGAAGAAGATATTTATTTTTCAAACTCAAATTCCAATTCAATCCGGTTCAGATGTTAACAAAAAATGTTCAAATAATTCTCCTTTTCAATTCAAGAAACCAACAGCCTTTTCCATTGGACTAGTTGATTATAGAGATTTAGGAATTCCAGATCAAAATTCATTATTTTATATTTGCGGTTATATTATGAAAAAATGATTAATTCAACATTCTTGTGAAATATTTGTAGAATATGCTAAAACTCAAAATAAATTAGATAATTCATTTTTATCATGTTATTTAAAGCTTATGAAAACCAAGAAAATCATTATTCGGAAATTTAAAAATGCCTCATGAAGATTTTTATAATTACTTTATAAATTAGAAACCATTTTTATAGAAAGTTTTCCTATTTTATCTGTTGAAAAAGGAGTTGGTGATAAACTTAAATTACAAATACTAAATATTATCTATGAACATCAATGTACTAATTTTGACAATGATTATCTTATAAAATTTTTTATTCGTTTTAGGATTTATTCTACAATAAAATTTCTTAATAGAAATGTATCCGAAAAAAAAAATTAAAAATATTAACACAATATTCAAAATGTCAGTTAATATTTAAAAAGACATTTTTATTAAGATAAAACGTTATTTAAAAAAAATAAGTATACGAACAGTTATAATTAATTATCGTTCAAGTAATTAAAATTCAATAATGTTTCAAATTTCAATATCATAGGTAATTTTTGTAACTGATAGAGGAATTGTACAATATTATTGTAAAATATTTGCACAAAAATGTTACATTGTACAATGGTCTTTATTGCTGTGTCTGCTGACCAATCAAAGAGCTTGATTTTTTCTATTTTTCTCGACAAGTGAACTATCTGTTTTCATATAGCTATGGTTATACAGTCTATGTAACTGACATGACTCATGAATTACATGTACTAAATAATACCGATCTTTGGTTGTATTCAGCCACAGTGATACCATATAACATTTGATGAATCAACTCAAATGCACACACTGAATCAATTCAGTCAAATGATTCGCAATTTACACATCTCTATAAATTCCTCGGTATAAACATCGAGATATATCAATGGGTATAAACCAACAAATGGTTTATCACTCTTATTTAGAGTGATAAACCATTTATTTTTTAATAATATCAGTGTAAAAAATACGTTATATAAACTTATATTTGTTATAAAATCCCAATCAACTATGAAAGGACAATCCATTATAAAATAAAATTGTAAGTGTGTTTATTTGTCAGACTTATTAAATGCCTTATTTCTTAAAAAATTAGAAATACATTTAAGCATTCATTGTTGAATAACATCAACAAAATCATTTCTTGTTTTAATTGAAAGAAACCCTTTATTTTAAAAGTATTCTAAGTATCTCGATCATTAAAATAAACAAATGCATTCGAAATTGATTTAATTGATTTTATATTGAAAACTTAAGAAGTTACCATCTACCAAATTAAAAAAATGTTTTTCCATTACTAGTTTGTATGAGTTTTAGTTTTTTGATAAAAATACACAAACTTTAACTATTTTATATGTTGTTAAATTTAAGTATTAACTCCTTGAAGTTGTTATTAATTGTATATGTAAAAAATAGCAGAAGTTAGTGTATTACAATTAATACTATGCAAATTAATCCTTTTTTTCTAACTTAATCTATTTTTTAACAATTCATTATGTAATAAAAAACACTTAAATACAATATAACTATTATTGCTATTAAAGACAGATAATTATCTTAAGTCCGATATTTCTACGGGTAAAATTATATAATTTTTTATTATTTTAAATTATTCAGAAAAATGTATTTTATTTCATTGTAATTCTAAATTGACTACAAACTAGTACCCAGTCTTGATTATAAACCAACAATTTATATCAAATGAGGGATAACAAGTACAACAATTACTAAAAATAATTATATATGAATGTTACAAAGTAAGTAGTAGTTTTTATATTTTCACATAGAATTGAAGACATTACTTTGTCAAAAATTATATTTTTAATATAATTGTACTAGTTTTTATATTATTTCTTAATAACTTAAAAGAAAAGATTTGGTTTAAATATATTTATAAATAATAGTAATACATACATATTGTTATTAATAATTATTTTTCATTAAATTAATTTCATACTTTATTCTAAGTGGAAAAAGTTATAGGTATTTTAATACATAGCCTCTTTATGTTAGCATTTTATTTCGTTCAAGTTTTTGCTTTCTAAAATCAATAAAAATTTTCTGATATTTTTTTTATATGATTATTTTTTAATTTTTATTTTAAATATTGAGATAAGAGTAACACTCTGTTATGTATTTTTTTAGTTGTCTTTTCACATTTTGAAATTATACTTTAAAAATAGAAGAATAAAAATAATAATGAAGTAAAATAGTTATAACCATTTGACACCTTCTGTTCAATAATTTCAATGTTTTCCAAATATTTTATATTAACCCTACCTTACCAATCAAATTTTAAAATTCAAGTTCTTCTAATGAACTATATTTTTATATAAATCTGCCTCAATTATAGAGCACAATTTATGATATATATTTCAGAATATAATTATTGTATAGAAATGGTAAAATTAATTTAAAAAACCCAGCACAGTGGGGTCGTGGCATAGTTGGGTCCAGTATAGATGATATCTGACAGTGATTAAAATCACTATCATAAGAAACGCTTCGATGCAAATCTGTAGATAGTGTTTAATTTTAAAAAATTGATGGATAATTGCAAAAGCAACATCAACTTCTATTAAAATAAAATACAAAACCCATAATTTTCATACAAAAATAGCATATTTTTGAATACGGTAGCCATTTTGCGTATAGAAGATAAGTCGTCGAGACAAATTTTTTTTTTTAATTTTGTAGTACATAAAATATGTTTTAATTTTATATATGTTTAAAGGACGCAGTATTTCCGGAACATTTTCTAAAATTAAGTTGAAAAAGTTATTTTTTGTAAACAATATTTTAAGTTTTGAACGCCCCCTATATAAGGGGAAATTGTCCAATTTTAATAAAAAGTATGTCAAATGAAAGATGTACTTATAATGTATTTAGAAAAAAAAAATTTGTGCTGATATATACATTTTTCAAAAAGTTATAGCATTTTTAAGTTGAAAATTTAAAATCGAAAATCGAAAATTTTAACACAAAAATAGTGTTTTTTTAACTACGGCAGCCGTTTAAATGTAGAAAAAAAAGTGTCGGGACAAATTTTTTTTTTTCATTTTGTAGTACATAAAATAAGCTTTAATTTGATATATGTTTAAAGGACGCAGTATTTCCGGAACATTTTCAAAAATTAAGTTGAAAAAGTTATTTTTTGTAAAAAAGTTACTATTTTAAATCCTCCCAGTGAGCAGAATAAGTGTTAGATTTTCAAAAAAAATTATATCAAATGAAAGGGAAATATCTAAGGTTTCAATAAAAAAAAATATTATTTTTATTTGTTTATTTTTGAAAAAGTTATGGCAGTTTTAAGTCAAAAAAACATCCCGATAATAATATTTTAACAAAGTTAAATTAAATAGGAAACATAAATATGTATTTCAGGTATAAAACTTTTAACAATAGCTTAAGTAACTTTATTTAGCTAGCATGTTCTAAATAGTTAAAAAAATATTTAGTGCAATACATCCGGCATTACATACTTTTGTATACAAACTCGATAGGAGATAATCCTCCTTAGTGCATTTTGTATTAATATTAAATATGACATTTTCATATTTTTAATCAATAGATCGATAGAAAAATTAAGGTCAATTAAACTGGTATAGAACTAAAAGTCATTTTAAATATCAACCATTTAAATTTTGTACTACATGTTTTTGAATAAGATATATCTTGTATACAAAAAGGCGCTAATCCAAAAAAGTCACTAAGAAACATATTAATTTTGTTTTAGTCAATTAACTGTCATTAAGTGGTTGATAAACCAATATATTATGAAAATCATTGTAGTAATTTATTATTTTTGTTTTGACAAGTTACCAAATAAACCAGAGGTGTTATAATATAAAATAAAAATATCTCCCACTGCTTTATTTTTTAAGTATAATTATTAATAATTATAATATATAAATATTCTCCAACATTTTATTTAATTTTTCTTATAGTTTCAATAAATATTAACTCTATTTTTGATTCTATTTTATAGATTTTTTATGAAGGAACGGAAGTTTTTTTTAACATCTTCATTCTACTCAGGGTGCAACACGGTACCATAATTATACTAAGCCTTCGCGTGTGAAATACCAATATGGGCGATGGAAGAAACAATATAAGTTCGCGAATGAAAAGAGTTATTCACAGTGTTGGCGAAGAAGATAAATGTTTTGTATTCAAAGAAGAACCTCCGGCCAAAACTCAACGAACATTTTCGCCAGCTTTCGATTATAACTCGCTCCAAGATGTTAGTGCCACCTACTCTTCGAGTTTATATGACCATCACCAGCATTTTGACGACGTTACTGAAAGCAATTACAAGCGTATACCAGCGAATACGGTCTTGAAAAAATTGCAAGCACTTGAATTACGAGATAAAGCTTTACGCGCTTCAGCAGCCGCCCAATCCGTCACAGAAGTCTCAGTCAATGTAGATGAACTTAAACCCACAGTGGGTACATGTCCAGACATGTGTCCTGAAAAAGAACGGTTATTGCGCATCGTTGGTAATATGGTTTCATCATTCGAGTGTCGTAAATTTAATGAACCAGCACCTGAACTCATGGTCAAAGCGTATGCCCGCAGCTCCGCAGATCAAGCCAATCCGTTACCACATGAGCTTCGGCCAACGTCGGTACTGGTCAAAACGATGAATTATATGCTACGTTACATTATCGAACCGACTGTTGAAGGAAATGATGATGACAATAACGGTGACGGTCGTGACCTTGCTGGTTGGTATGATTTTTGCTGGGACCGTTTAAGGGCTATTCGTAAAGACATTGTTCAGCAGAACTTATATAATAGGCGAGTCGTCACAGTATTAGAACAGATCGGTCGGTTCCATATTGCATGCTACGATCTCATGTTGGGCCATCCAGGATTTGACGTCAAACTCAATACAGAAAATTTAAATAACTGCATACAAATGTTAATGCCGGCTTATAGAAAAACGGCAGGTAACTCGGCGTCGTTAGAAAATAATGATTCGTACGACGATGTGGATGATCAAAACGAGGGAGAACAAATGGAACAAAATACTGATTTCCATTCCAATGAACCTGAATTTGTTGCATACGAATTGCTTGTACATTTAGGCAACCCACAGTTTTATACTGCTTACGATCTGCTGCCCGATCATGTTAAACGTACAGCACGCGTTCGATTTTGCGTCCGTGCTCATCTTGCCTATCTACAGACCGCCGACTGTCGGCAATTTTTTCATTTGCTTCAGAGCACCAATTTTATGAACTGTTGCATTTTAGAAAGAATCATACCAGCAATCCGTTACAACACGCTTCGCACCATTAATACAGCATACACAACAACTAAGCGAACATGTCGATTGGATGTGGAGCATGTGATGTCTCGGCTGTGTTTCGACAACGCAGACGAAGCCTTTGATTTTTGTCGAGCTGTTGGTTTAAGATGTGTTGATAGTGATGGTGGAGACACTTCATATATTGAACTATCGCGACAAGCAAACTTGTGTGCTCCTGAAGCGGTATATTCGACTACAACATCCATGACGGGTAAACGACAAGAATCCGTTATAGTTCAAAAGAGACGAGACTTGACACGACTAATTGCAGGTCAAGACCTTTTACCGGATCCTATTATTACAGCTGTGCACTCTAGTTTTAACGAGATTGATTGTTTAATCTCCATTGACAGCGATGGTCATTACGGTGATAACGAAGATGACCAACAAGACTGTCATGATTTAAAAAAAGTTATTGTTGACCAAGAAGATGGTGATTACGTAGATGATGATGGTTGCGATGTTAGTGATCGATTCATGGATGATGACGAAGTTTATGAACATGAAATGATGAATGACGACGATAATGAATTCCCTTACGATATAAACCAGGAAAATGATGTTCGTGAAAACAACTTTGAAACTATGTCACAAGACGTTAACAATGATAGAGTGTGCTCCAAAATCCTAGAAAACGAAACACCAACATTTACGTTTAAATTGCCCGCTTTTAAACATGTCGTAACGCCATTGCCACAACTAGAAACTCCTACTAGTGGACAGAAATTATTTGTTAACTCATCAGATTCCGAGACTCGATCAAAACGGACAAGAACACCTTCAGTTGGACGTGTTAGTAAAAATTACGATTTGTTTCCTCAAGATACATCGTTTTCAATTTTATCTTCAAATACTACCGATGTTCTTTTGCAAACTGATCTGTGCAGTAATAGTTCTAAAGAAATAAGTCAACGTCAAGACGTGTCCCTATCAAAGTCAATGCAACAGTTACAAAATAATTCTGCTGAAATTACACTAAATCTATCTGATGAAAAAAATATAAATGACCAATCTAAGACAAAAAACCAAATACAAATCTATTTAGCAAACAAATACTTTTTTAGATGGAGACGTCGAGTGGTAATGGCGACTAAGACAGTGAGTAAAAATACGCTAAACCTTGTTGGTGTAGACTCCGATAGGAATATTAACGTTCGGTCAATAGCTAAGTCCGTTACCTTAGTAGAAAGTGTTCCAGAACTACCCAAGCGATGGACTATAAGACAAAGGCGACTTGCACAAAACTATTTCTATCAGTGGCTGCGCAAGACTTTGCGAAAGCAAAGAAAATTAGCTGCGGAGCCATTCGAAATTGAGCCAGTAATCGGCTTGCCGTGGTCAGTGTTTATGCGGGTCCATGGAACGCCGAAAGAAGTAATACAGCGCAGCCTGGCTGCAGCGCAGATTAGAGCGAGTACGCAAGAGACCCAACAACAATCGAAAAAACAAATAGCATCTTCAGGAACGTCTAACGATATCAGCGTCGGTATAGCTGACATGTTCGTCAAAAATATTTTCTCTTCTGTTCAGCAAAACCACGAATCGATAAATGATGTAAAATTAAGTAACAAAAAAATATTTTGGAAAGTAGCTGTCAACTATGGAGAAGAAATAACTGATGGGGGCCGTCATCCAATTCTAGATAAAGTTCATGCCGTTTTGTATGGTATAGCTGGATTATCAAATTGTCAGCCACAAGCCATTTACATGTCAGACCATTGCCGGTGGTTTATCAAATCGGTCCACAGTGCTGTTGGACTTCAAAACTGGACAGGGTCCGGTTTGTCGGCGGCCATTATTTTTACTGCTGTCGATAAAGAGCCTACTGAAAACTTTTTTAAACGTCTTTACTCTATATTACAATCAACAGCCGAACCTATACCTGTGGCAATAATATTCTCATCGAGTTCTTATAGTGATTGTGCTAAAGATGGAGAGACATCTAAGACTACAAATTCTGCTTCAACAACACATTTCGTCACTGATTATGCATCAATTTTAGATGCTTTTGTTGAAAATGAATATGTCACGCGATACTGTCTTTATCGATGGCAAGGACCCCAAACAATTCTTCAGGCGCTTGATTTTTTTTCACTCAATTACGTGGATGCTGCTCCAGGACTCAAAGCTGAAAAATTATACTATAACCTCATGCGATTTGCTGAGGCTTTTTACTCAATGGAACGACAACGCATTATTATGAATACTATGACAACTGAATCCACTTCATCTGATTACGATAGACCTTTCAATCCTAACAACACTGTTGAAAAGTTCAACAAATTAATTTCAGTGTATGCTAAACGTTTATGTTCTGATGGTAATAAAACTCTTAGATATCTCGCGCCCGAATTCATACCATATTATACATCCACTGATCCGAATAAATTTTGTCACAAATATTCAAACTTAAATGCTAATTTTTTTGAGCGCTCCTTAAATAGCGCTCGATTGCCACCATGTGATCCATGGCCCCCAAGAGACTTAGATACATTAATTGAATATGTGAAACTGGCATGTCGGTTGACTGATCGACGTTGTTGGTGTTTGGATATGTTGCAGACTCTAGGACTTGATCGCCGGGAATGTACAACAGGAAGTTACTTGTTGCCATACGCTGAGCAGTGGTTGCCTGTGATAGAAACGTGGATTCAAGGAGCACTGGAAAAGTGTTGCGCTGCGTATGATTTTATAGTTTTGTACGATGGTGATCCAATTGCAGACGTGTTACAGATGCAAATTCTTTAATTCTGTCTCTGACTAATTTTTAACAGATTAATTTAAATTTATAGATATCCAACTTGTAGCTTTGATTTTATACCACCTATTTGTACTACGCAAAGTTATCCAATTGTTTTTTTTTTTTGTTTTTAATTGTCTTTCATTTTTTAATATTGTATCCACATAACCTATGGCAATAAATTCGATTGTTTGTAAATAATTTGGAATAAAACTTGAGAGTAACCAATAAATTTTATAGCATATATATTTTATAGTTTAGTCCATTATGGCTCATTTCATATATAATCAACAAGGTGATTAATTTCGTTTAAATTTGTTTACCGTTTCCGTAGACTTAATTATGTTGTAAAATCAGAAAAAAATGTATTTTGGTCGACTAGTTACAAATGATATGGGATATAAAATTAATGGAATAAGAGTTATGGTTGCTTTTGGAATAATCCATCAATTTTTTAAAATTAAACACCATCTACAGATTTGCATAGAAGCGTTTCTTATGATAGTGATTTTAATCACTGTCAAATATCATTTATAGTTGTCCCAACTATGTCACGTCAATACTGTGCCGCGACCCCACTGTTACCGTTTTTACTTTTTAAAATATTTTTTGGGGATAACTTATCTTGCGATGAAAATTTGTATTGACAACTTATAATTTGTGTTAAAAATCATTAAACACTTGAGGGTTAAAAATTGTGGATTCATTTCTTTAACTTTAATTTTTGATAGAAATATATTGTGATTTATTATGAATACTACCCCTATTTATTTCGTTAAATAATGATTTTTTCATATAAATTTTATTTTATAAACCCTAGTAAACATCAAGTTTATTGTAAAAACAAATTATTTTTAAGGATATATCCTTATATAAATAGTTAATTATTAAAAATAAATGAAATTTAAATTTATACAATTTAAAGAAAAAATAAAATAATAAAAATATGAGTGGTAGAATTTTTAATAAATCACACTAGAAAAAATATGGATCCTGTGGGTTTAAGAATAATGGCCCCCATACAACAAATTGTAGATTTGTTGATCAATTTTAATTTCAACTAATCGACAGACCGATCGTTTCGTGTATGGGGGCCTTACGCATATTTACTGAAAAAAATTAATGTAGAGAATACTAAACACACAAAAAGGCAATTTACTTTTATACAAAAAAAGCATTTTTTTTTTTTAATTTAGAGGTCGTTCACTACCGTGCCTCTTTTTTTTCACATGATTTCCCATGCATTTTTGATGAGTGACCTTTAATTCCGGCGGCCGTGTCATATCTACAGATAAGAATCCGCGACTTAAGGCGTAGTAGAAATGAACCAACCACCAGTCCATCGTGCAATTATGATTCAGATCTCGCACACTTCCGACAACACTATAGGTTGATAAAGTTATGTGTGTCCAAGGGAAACAAGGTACCGTGTCAAATTAGAAGTATCACATATACTTATTAATTCCAATATGAAAAGAAAACTATACATAAAAGTTATGAGCTTTCAAAAGAAAAAATTAATATAATTTAAATTTTATTACTTTTCTTAAACTATTCAGACAAATAAAATTTGTCGGCTTTTATTATTTGTGGTAAACCATACATAATAAAATAAAAACATAAAAATATGTCCCCACTCTCTTGTTGCTCATATTTTACTCGGGCGTGTTCGCTATTAACCGTGAATTCTGATAAGACAGACAAACAATTTTTATGTTCGATCGTTATTTATCATTTTAAAGTAATAATTTTATGTTTTTATTTTAAATTACTATTTTTACTAAGTTTTTAATTAAATTCCGGCTGAGTAAAGAATCTATATTTTCCCTAAGTTGTTATTATTAAGTTAATCGATTTCGTAATTTTTTCTAGTTTATCTCTAACATTTTTCAGTAATAAAGGTGTTACTTTTAATAACAGGAAAAAGAATGTTTAAAAATATTTTTTAATCTAATATAAAGTGATCTATAATGCCATATAGTAAATCGATGTATTATTAACCGATAAACGTATTCATCGTGTAAAAGTTATGTGGTATTTTAAACAAAAAATGTTCACCCTATTAATTGTGGCTTGTATAACACCAACTCTTTGTCTCGCTCAACTTAATGAAATCGAAACCGAGTGGCGTTGTCCTGATTTTTGGGTTAAATATGCACAATCGTGTTACAAATTTGTTAAGTCACCTATTAGACAAAGACCAGAAGCTCATCGTAATTGCCAAGTAAGTGTATTTATGAAATTTAACTTTATAATCAATCGTACAATTTTATCGAGTTTTATAATTTTTTAATGATAATAATCCATTAATTATTAATTTATTAATCATTGAATGTAGAAACAAGTTTTCAATTTTATAGTCAATAATTTTCCTTTTTATCAATATGAACAATTATTCAAAATAAACTTTCACAAATATTTCAATTTGCATTGAAGCTAAAAAATCATTAATCCTTCATTATTTAAATAATTTAATTGTTTTTATGTAAAAATCGAGAATTGCAATATATATATATATATATGTCAAGAGTTTCTGAGTAAAAATACAAAATACAAAAAAAAAATTGATGTGATAGAGAAAACTAAATTTAGATAAGTATGCAATGTCAAAAAATACATAGAATATAAAGAACTATGTATAGCAATTTTTGTTCCATCTGTATCAGTAGATAAACTTTTTTGATAATAAAAAATCTATTGTTTGTTATACATTTAAAATTTATAACATTATACTCGTTTTATGCGTATACATTATAAATCATTTATACTGTATTATATTATATGTGCCAACCATGATAAAAATATAATATTTAATAGTAGAAGCTATTATTAGCTTATTTATTGAACATAATTTCTCTAAGAACAATATTATAAATAATTAAAAATTTTTTTTAGTCGAAAATTCCAGTTATCTTTTTTTTTTAAACTGAATTGTTCATTTTAAATATATATATAATAATAATTTTCTAAATTTCTAGGCGTTTGGAGCTGATTTAGCTAGTGTTAACAATTTAGATGAACATGGATTCCTCATCAATCAATTATTGCATCTAGATCCACAGCACAGACAGTGGTATGTTAGTGGTAGACAATCAAGTCCTGGTGTTTGGATTAATGATGCAGAAAACACAATTCCTTTAATAGACATAGAAAATGCTCTATTACCTGAACAAGATACAACATTGAATAGGGATTACATTGCATACACGTGAGTTTTAAAAATCGGCTAACTGTAATAGAATAGGAAAATTTTGATGAGTTATAAAGCATTGAATTCAATAAACAATAAACAGTTTTTTCTCAAATCAGTTTTCTCATAACTTTTTGGTTCTAAGCCCATACAGTCTTTTTTCAAATCTTAGAAATTCTACTTATGAAAATTAAATATGAAATAATTAGGTAAAATGTTTTTATTAATTTATAATTTGTTTGTAAACAAATATAATTTCTTAAAAAGTAATTATTAAAATATAATAAAACATTATATTACTCTTTTTCATATAAAATTTTTGAAATGATTTAACTTAATACAATTCATTTTCTCTTACCTCTTAAATGTGACCTTATACATTTTATTTTTCAAATTATTATTATTCAAAATATTATTTTTAGGTACATATATAATTGAACTTAGAAAGAATATTTAAAAAAAAAATTATTTTATTAATTTAATTATATCAAATTCATATTTTCAAATAAATAATAATAATAATTCACTATTTATTAACTAAATATAAAAATATTGTAATAAAAAAAAACAATATTAAAAATAAATTATAAATAATTACAACTTTTAAAAGTTACATTTATTTGAATTGAATTCAATCAAATAATCATTATTAAAGAAAAACAAAGCTCAATATTTAAAAATATGGCTTTTATTTAGTATGTTTTACAAAAAAATTATTTTCAAGCACAAAAATAATTTACACAATAATTCAAACATAATCCTCTGAATTAATTGTTATTTACTAAAATATTGAAATAATTATAGAATTTAGAATAACTCGATTTTATTAATAATTAGATAAATCATCCTACTTCTATATTAGCAAACTTTAATTAGTTGCTCTATATATGTTTTTTAAATAAAGTTGTTATAGGTTATTGTAATACTATATACTAATAGTAATACTATACAATTTTTTTTTTAAAATTAGGTATATGAATTATTTTGTTAAAGTAGTTTAATAATATTTCAGTTACTCCAACCAGTTACAGAAATGGGGATTTCAAAAAGTACCAGGTGATCGATACTTAAATTACATATGTGAAGTTCCTATTACCAAACAGCACATGGTTGTAGATAAACGGTCCTACCAGTATGGGTTCAATATAGAAGATCCTTTAAAAGTACCTCGTGGACCATACTTTATCAAACAACCCGTTGATGTTGTTTTTGATGGCACCAGAAAAGGAATTACTAATGATGTCACATTGACGTAAGTGTATATTTTGTTAGTATAAAAACTAAGGAAACTTTTTATTTATAAAAAATTATAATTTAAAATAAAAAATTACTAAATTCAATCAAGTTAAGTTACAATAAAACTTTTTAACTTAATTATATTAAGTTACCGTTTTTTTTTTATCATATTTGTAACTGAAGATGATGTGATTCAAAACTAAAAATATTCCGGGTACTTAGCATTTAAGTTAAATCCTGATAATCGACCCTCATTTAAGACTAGAGCTTTACTTGTTACTCAGTTTTAAGCCTATACTCAGCTATTACTTGATACTGAGTTTATAAGCATTTTTTTTTATATGTATTTTACTCGGTATTTGTTTTGTACATACTTTTATAACCGGGAAAATCTCTATTTAAAATTAGTAGTTACCAATTAATTAATACAGCTAAAATATTTTTTTTATTTAATAATTTTAAATTAAAAATTTTACATTATTTTTTAATTTATTATACATTTTTAAATTAAGATGAGATTATGCATCTTTAGCAATATTTAAATTATATTTGAAAAATAATAGGTGTATTGCTGGTGGATATCCTACTCCAACATATGAGTGGTTTAAAGAAGAATATGATAATCAAGATCAATTGCAATCAATAAAAATTGACCCCTTAAGCAACAACAGATTTACATTGAGTGGAGGAACATTAATTATTTATTCTCCAAAAAGGGTTTGTAAATAAACACTATATTACTTACCAACAAAGAAAAACTTAATATTTTAAATAATAAAGTATTAAGTATCATATAAAGTGTAATTGAGTCTATTTTTTCAATTATTAAAATATTTTTTAATGTATATATTGAAATAAAACTGAATTTATTAAACCTAAATTTCATATATTTAAAAATGTTTTTAGATAGATATATTGTCTAAAAATAGCAAAAATAGAGTTTCAACTTAAATTTTTCATTTTTCTGTACCAATATAGGCCTGTGCAAAATATTAATAGAATACAATTATTTATTTGTTTTATTTAAAGAAATGATAACTACATTTTTTAAATTAGTATAATTAAGGAATTGTTTAATTTACGTTGATTTATATTTTATTATGTTAAAACAATTCATTACACTAAATAAAATAAAAGGAATTTTTTTAGTTAAATTTTGTGTTTTACATACATATAATTTGTAGCTTTGTTTCAAAAGATTTGAATTTAACATTTTTTTTAATGTGTACTTCTTTAATACTGCACTTAACGTTGCAAATTGTACAAAAATAAAAGACATCAATTTAGATTTATGTAGTTTATCTATTATTTTATTTTCTCATCAAAAAGTTTTTTTTTTATAGGATGAAGATCGAGGTCGTTATCATTGCAAAGCAACAAATATGTATGGTTCTATAATTTCAGAGAGTATTCAATTATCATTTGGATTTATTGGTGAATTTAACTTACTGAGACCTTTAGAACGAGGTAATATGAATTGGGGAAAAACAATTTTCTGTGATCCTCCGCAATTTTTTCCTGGTGAGAACTAAATTTTCAATATTAAATGTAGTGTTTCCTAGTTATAATTATAATTATGAAATTAGTATTGCAAAAGAAGGCCTGATAAATAGATTTTATATTACAGGTCATTATTTCATTCTCACTCATATTTCATTATGAATAAGAATTATAAATAAATATGTAATTTTAAGTAATTTTTTTTGTCATTGTATATGATAAAATGTATTATTATAGTTACCTCATATACTATTTTACTTATATTATTTTTTGTATTTATAGATGTAAGATACTATTGGGTGAGAGAATCTTTCCCAAATTTGGTCCAAGAAGATAGAAGAGTTTTTGTATCTTATGATGGATATTTGTACTTTTCGGCTTTGGAAGAAATTGATGCTGGTAATTATAGTTGTAATGTCCAGAGCAAAGTATCGAATACCGGTAAAAATGGACCATTGTTTCCACTACATGTAGTCATGCATTGTAAGTTTTATTTTATTATTGTTGCATGAATAAAAACATATTGAAAGCTTAATAATTATTGTTGAAAGGTAAAAAACAAAATATTTGTTGATGTCATTTTTTGATATCATTGATTTTTTTAATTGATAAAATGAAATATAACCAAAAATGTATTACTTTAATTTATGAAATCAGATATATGTTTCATTATAACCTATTTAAACTTAGTGGAACAATATGGTCGAATGTGTAATGCGCATTGCCCAGACTGATGATTTAGTCATGGGCTGCTCTATTTGCTGAGTGAATGATCAATTTCAGTAATAAGATTCGCAATCTCTCTTTCCCTCTTTGTCCTTAGAAACAAACTAGTCACCCTTCCCTAAGTATTCATGGTTTAGAAATATCATCTTTGAAGGAAGCCACTATGGCCTTTAATGGACTGCAAAAGCCTGAAAAAAAATATATATTCAAACATATTAATCTTGACTGAAAGTAAAATAAATTTTTTTATTGTTCTCTCATTACACAGCTGATTATCAACAACTCATCCTACCAAACAACTTTCCCAAAGCTTTTCCAGAGGCTCCTGTAGCTGGTCAAGAAGTTAGATTAGAATGTGTAGCTTTTGCATAGTAAGTTTTTTAAATTGTTTTTTTAATAGTTTCCACTGAAATTTGTCTTAATTATTTTGTATCTTAATTACAGTCCTGTCCCGTCATACAACTGGACAAGAAAAGGTAGTCCTTTACCAAGGGGCTCATATTTAACCAGCTTCAATCGAGTTTTAATCATACCACGAGTTCAAGTTGAAGACCAGGGCGAGTATAATTGTCATGTTTTCAATGATCGGGATAGTAAGGAAAAAAGTGTATTGCTCTCTGTTCAAGGTATGACAATAGCTTTAAATGTCCTACAAACTAACTATTTTATCACCAATTAAAGTAATTTATTTGAGTTGTCCAATTACAAAAGGAAATATGTCCAAAAAATTCTTTTGGTAATGATGCTTTTTCTGGGCAAATTAGCTTACAACCAGATAAGAAAAAAAACAATTTTTTTTGTTTATTTGCGTAACTGGACGATTCATTTATTTTATAAACTATGCTAAATTGTTTAAAAAAATACTGACTATATTGAAGTAGTAAATGCGATATCTTTCTGTAAAAATAATTACTAGTTATTTAAAATAGAAAAATAGCTGGTTTTTAGATACTGATGTCTCATTTCTTATTCTCTTATATATTATCTAAATTTATTTAATCTGATAAAATAAAAATAATAATTAGTTCATTTATAATTTTTAAAAGTAAATTCTCAAAATTACTCTACAAAATGTAATTTTTCATAATAAATTTGATATTTGTCACAACTAATTTCAATAAAAAATATTTTACTTAATACTTTTTTGTAAAAGTATACTTAATAAATTATATTGTATAAATAATAGGAAACATGCTATAGATTAATAATTTATAATTAACTAATAACTGAAATAAACTGCTAATGTTAAGTTAATAAGTAAATTGATTACTTATTTACTTATTGCTGTTTATATTATCTCTTTCAGCTGAACCAAATTTCACTATACCTCTTGAAGATAAACATATGGATAATCAAGCTGATTTGACTTGGACTTGTGAAGCATTTGGTGTACCAGATGTCACATACAAATGGTTTAAAAATGGTGAGCCCCTAGAAATTGACAAATTACAGCCTGATGATCAGAAACGATACTCAGTTCAAGACAATGTATTAAACATCAGGTATTTAGATGCTGAACGAGATTCTGGAATGTATCAATGCCAAGCTCGTAATACATACAAGGCGAGCTATTCATCAGCTCAATTGAGAGTTTTGTGTTAGTATTTAAAACAGTAAGAGTTTTAAGTTTAAGTAAATTTTAATTAACTATATTTATAAATATTAGCATTGCGTCCTTCATTTAAAAAGAAACCTCTCGAACCAGAAATTTATGGTGCTGAAGGTAAAAATGTTACTATTGAATGTAATCCAGAAGCAGCACCTAAACCAAAATTTACTTGGCGAAAAGATGGATATGTAATAGGTAAGTTTATTTGGATATTTATAAAACTAAAAACTTGTTTGCATAATAGATATTTTATATCAGGCTAAAAAATAAATTCCAAGCATATATTTTCATATATTTAAGTAATATAATTTTTTTTTTTTAGTGTTATTTTTAAAAATAACAATCAGACTTAAAAAAAACTTTCTTGACTATCTATTATATTATTATAATATATTATTTAGAATAGAATTTATTATGTAAAATTTATTGTATACCAAAACTTTTTATACTACATTGTTTATCAAGTATTTAAAAGTTTATGTATATTTTAATTTTTCTTAGGATCTGGAGGGAGACGTCGTATCTTAGAAAATGGTAATTTAATCATTAATCCAGTTGGAAGAGATGATGAAGGGATCTATATATGCATTGCTCAAAATATTTATGGAACTGAAGAAAGTCAAGGGAGGCTTATTGTTATGAGTAAGAAATTATTTTTGCTTGTTATTTTAAAAATAATTTAAGTCATTTATATTAAATATGAAAAGTTACCAACTAGAAATTGGTCATTTTATAACAAAACTAATATAATATGATTAATACATGAAAGTATTTTATGTTTTAGTAAAACACTGGGTAGAAATAACATGCTATGAATTAATTTTTGAACTGCATATAGCATATTCTTATTTTTATGTCCAGTTATACACCAAACATTCTAAATCAAGTTTCATCTTAAAATGATACAAACAAAATTCACATAAAATGATTTAATTAATTGAATAATTTCTTGTATTAATATTTACATAATGGTCATGAGTGATATGAAAATTTTAGGTCAAAAATATTCATTTATTTCAAAAATATAATTAAAATTTTTTTGTAAAACATATTCTGCCAAAATGATTTAAACCAAAAAAATTGAACATAATTAGTGATGTGAATTGTATAATATTTTATTATACAAAACAATAAAATACAAGTGATATTTTATAAAAAAAAAAATAATTATGTATTATGATAAGAAAAAAAAATTAGCATGAAAATAATAAAAAGTGTAACTACTTTAATTATTAAAAAATTCATTAAACATATTATTTTCAATTTTATGAGTTATTAATTGATAAAGTATTTAGATACATGTTGTGCTTTTAATTTCCACTTTATTATTTAAAAGTTACAAAAGTATGAAAAAAGTCAATGTGTAATTTTTTTTCATTTTTATAAAACTACCTTTTGCTCACCTACTACATTAAATAAATCGCTAAAAGCCTGAAAAGAGATGAATCTATATTTATATATTTTTTTAATTACTACAGAAAATATACCATGTTATAGATAGTTTTTCATCTTTCCTGAAAAATTAACAAAAGTGAGTATTAATATAAAAGTTGGGGATTTAAATATGTAGTTGACTTGAGTCAGTATCATAGTCAGGATTTCTTAAAGTCATAGTTGAAAAAATATCAACAAACCCATATTTTGGACTTTTTTTTTTTACCCATCAATTCATTTTGAAAACAAACATTACGGTCAACAAGACATTATGGTCTTTGTTACCCTACTGGTTTCGCCAATTATTTGGATTATAATAATTTATTATTTTTACTATGTTAAGTTTCATTTGCGAGGGTATTATTTAAAATTAAGATAAAATTTCTATATATTTGGGAAGGCTTTTTCATTTTTATTCCCTAAAGGCCCACTGTAATGTTTTTCAAATTATTGTTTAAAAAAAATATTTCAAATATAAAAATTTTAAAATTAACTTTTGTAATCAAATTTAATGTATTACACTAATAGAATTAATTTTAATACAAATTTTGAAATTAAATTCCATAAAAAAAAATAAACAAGTACTGTATATTTATATTTTGAAGCCTAAAAATTCAAAATTAAAACTTTTAATAAGAAATATTTAAAAAATATGTTATAAGAATGTTAAACAGTTATAGACTTCAATTATTCTAATTAGACGAAAAAAAAAAAAGTCAATCGTTATTTTTAATAATTGATATATTTAGTACCTAATCTAATTATATACTTCTGTAATTAGGAGGTCCTGTTTTTGTTGAACAGCTGAGTCCTCAAATGCGTACCATTATACAAAATGATTTGTTATTACGTTGTCAAGCCTCTTCAGATGAACTTCTTGATTTAGCTTATGTTTGGAGTCATAATGGTATGCCTTTGTTGAATTCCAATCCTGAAATCATTAACCACATTGTAAGTTTAAAGTTTTTATGAATTATTATAATTAATATTATATAATTTGAGTCATCTATACAGAGTGTCCAATGAGTTTTTTACATTATTAATAACTTTTGATCGAACAAATATTTTGTGTTAATTTTTTGAACTATGTTAATAGCATATTGATTATTAATATTTGTCTCTAATAATAATAAAAAAATTTATTAAATTTTTTTAGTTTTATATTTCTTCAAATTTTAACATTAACTTTATAGCTGTTTCCTTTTAAAAAAATGTATGAGTTGATTATAGCTTTAGGACTAGTACTTATTAAGTAACAATCATTTTAATACATAGAACAAATATGTAACATTGGGGAAGTATGCATTATAAATATACACTAGTACAAGTTGTACTAGTTGATGGAGTATAAAGTACGGGTGGGGTACCCACCCATATTAAGATATTAAAATGCTTATAACTCAATAAGTACTTATTCTAAAGTTGTCGTAACCATCAAAATGTTTTGTAAGAAGAAATAAAAAATAACTATTTTAAAATGTTGAAAAAATATTTGAAACATATAATAAAAATATGTTTTTAGTGTAGTACAAAACTGTAAAAATTATTTTAAAAAATGTATCGCAAAATATTTACTGGATCAAAAGTTATTAAAGATGTCAAAACTTTTTTGTTGATCACCTGTATATTGCCATCCTAGTAAAGAGAAACATATATAAAAAAATTGAAAAATTAGGATGAGTTATTAACAATTTGGTTAATACTTATTTCGTAGAATTAGATTTAATACTTAAGAAAAAGCCATTTAAGACTTGTACTGTAACAAAATTAGTACATACAATTATTTTGCTTAGTATAATTCAATATACATTTTGTTTTTTTTAGTTACGTAGAATTGTTAATGTGGATATGACTAAATTGTCATATTTTAAGTTTTTGATAGGAAATATTGTTGACCAGCCTCTTAGTAGATTTATTAACTAAATAATCACATATGAATGTCAAAGATAAATTTAAAATTAACAAATTGTAAATAATTTATTCAAAGTAATATAAAAAATTGATATTTGAGCACATACTGCTTTCTTTCTGTGTAATTTTATTTTTCATCATAAATCATTTAGTTTTATTAGATATCTTCTTTACTGGGGCACAGTATAGCTCAATAGAAAATGTAATGTTGTTTCATTACGCTCATGTAATATGATTTATTTCATTATTCTATGCTGTATACCTTCTTGTATTCTATCAAATTAATAATTTAATTTCTTAGTAAAAAAATGTCTTATATAATTAAAAACTATAAAACATTTGGGCTGTTGCAATTAGTGAAATATATACTATACAATTATTGTAAACATTAGATATATAATTTTATATAAAGAGTTAAAAGTGATTTAAAGAGTTAAAAATTTAAGTCTAAGATAAAAATTGTACAGAATTATACATTTTTTAGACTATTAATGGCGGTGAACTTTTTATTCACAATATAACATTAGAAGATGCTGGTGAATACAGATGTATTGTGCATAGTGTAGTTGGTGAGATATCTTCAATGACTACTTTATATGTTGATGGACCACCTGGACCTCCTGGTAAAATTTGTTTACACACATTAAATGTTTGCTTTATGAATTTCTTATATTTTTTGGTTTTTTATTAAAAAAAAATGCATTAACAGAAATTATGATACTATTGTATTTATTTATGTATATTTATCTACTACATGTAGTAAACTGATTTCTCTCCAATATTGTTTTAGACTTAATTAAATTAACTTATTTTGTTAATTTTTCTATTAAAATTAAAGTTGATAAAGTTATTATAACTTAAATAAAACCAAATGGAATAATTGAAAAATGTAGTATAACTTTCAGTTTGATTTTAATTTTTCAATTATTGAAAACGAATAACAAATTTTTTTTTTTTTGCATTACTTTAAGACATTTTTTACATTTCTATAGTTTTTGTGTCATATTCAGAAATTTTTGATGTAGTTAAAGTTTATACAAAAAAAATTATATTACAATCTCTTCCAATTAAAATAAAATTGTATATTTTACATATAGTAATATATTTTTTCTGGGGATTTAGATCCTATTTTCCCCTCTTGGCAAATACTTTATTTTATATATTATAATATAATAAATGTAATATTATGTATTAGGTGAAGTACGAGTTGAAGTTATGAAGACATCTGCTAAGCTTCAATGGACTGATGGCTCGGCAAATGGTCGTCAAATTTCTAGGTATATTGTTAGTGGCAGAACTAATTGGAATAGTACTTGGTATACAATTGCTACAGGTAATGAATCAATATTTTTTTATTCAAAATTATATATTTTAATATTTATTTTTTAATTAAAATAATACAAATTTAAATATAAATACTTTTATATTAACATTGTATAGTAATATTAATCAAGATAATATTTAAATACTGTTTTTTTATTTGTATATAAAATAGTAATAAATGTTTTACTATTTTAGATATTATCACCAAAGAAATTGATAGATACAATGGTCGTAAAGAAGCATACTTAGAAAACGTTCTCATGCCTTGGTCAAAATATGAAATCAGAATGATAGCAGGTAATGATATTGGATTTGGAAAATATTCATTACCATCGCCTCAAGTTAATACTCCACCAGATCATCCATATAAGGCGCCATTAAATATTACTGGTGGTGGAGGAAAAATAGGAGATTTGACTATTATGTGGAAAGTATGTTCTATTTTATATAGGGTGTTCAGAAAACGGATTTCTATTGTTCTTATTATTTGTAAAAATTGACCTATTTCTTTACTTTTTGAACACTCTTTATACAAAATCATCAGAATTTATTGAACCAGCAGATTTTTCAATAAATTAAAAATAATATTGATAATTTTTTTATTGATTTCTCTTAGTTCCATGATTTTCTTAAATTATCAATCGTGGAGTATTTTTATGTATGTTCATTGCTAATATCTTATACTTTATTTTTTCAAGTGTAAACATGTATAATTAACTAGTTAATTTATTAGAAACTTAAATAATTTAAGTTTGTTGAATTTCAATAAGTTTATGGAAACTTATAATAAGATATAAGGGATGAACACAAAAAATACTTCATGATTGACAAATAAAAATAAAAATGCATCTAAAAGAAACAAAAAATAATAATAATTAATATTATTTTTACTTCATTGAAAAATTAGCTAGTTTATTAAATTTTGATGTCCAGTGTTTTAAATATTAATTAAAAATAACAAGAATTAATTATTTTTATTTTGATATTATTTTTTTTATGTGTAGAGTGTTTATATCATCAATGATAAATACAGGTCAGAGGAACTTATCAATAAAAAAAAAAGTTTTATTTTTTTTAAACAAGTTTATCCAAATATTTTTGTTGAATTTTGTTTTAAAACCATGTAACTTTAGAAATACTTTAATTGAATTTATAATTTACAACTCTAAGAGTTATAACAATCAATTCTATAGAAATAATTTAGTTTAAAAAGGTAAAAAAAAATTTAGGTAGTACATTGCTCTGATCCTACACCAAAAATATCTAACTGACAGTGCTTAAAACTTTTGATACATTTATCATTTTGTTGACATTTTTTTTTTTTATATAATTATTGCCGTCTTAAGTTAAAATATATATATAATTTCAAACTAACCATTAGAGTGGAATATGGATGGGGTATACGTTTATCAGTACAGGCTGTACCCACCCATGCTACATACCCTCTCTATGTATAAAAAAAAACTATTATGTAACTCGAATAGTATTTGTTCTAAAATTGTTATAGACCAACCAAAATTATTTTTTACAAAAATAGGTAAAAAATAAATATTTTTAATGAAAAAAATAAAAAGTTCTATTTGAAGAGTGAATGTGTCAAACGTTCTATGTGCCAAAAATTGTGAAAAATTGTTTTATTTCTGATTTATGTTCTATGTGCCAAAGGCCACAATTTTGTATGTGTTTCAAATGTCAATTAAATTTTTTACTTGTACACTTGTACTTGTTTTTACTTGCATTCATAGATGGTGTTCGTTATGTGAGGCATTGGCATGTTACCATCGTTTTTTGTGTTTTCTGAACAAATATGTTTTTGGCACATAGAACGTTTGACACATTCACTCTTCATTTATTTTTTATATATTAGAGAAAAATAGTCTTTATAGCATTCATTTTTTTTTTAATGTCAAAAAAATGATAGTATTATCAAAAGTTATAAGTGTTGTCAGTAAAATCTGTACCAAATTTCTATTTATATATATATATAATTTTTAATTTATTTTAAAGCCATTACCTCCTCAAGATCAAAATGGTCCAGGAATCTACTACAAAGTATTCTGGAGACGTTTAGATCATGACAGCGAATTTCAGCATGAAACATTGCAAAATAGTGGTAATATTGGAATTGCTGTAATGCATGTGAAACCAGAGTTTTATTATACACGTTATGAAGTTAAAGTTCAAGTAAATATCTTGTTCATAATTTATAATATTATTATTAAAAAATACACCATATTTCTTAAATATAATATTTACTTCATTAATTATTATTTGACTTATATTTTAGGCATTTAATTCAATTGGTGCTGGACCCATATCTGAACCCATAGTAATATACAGTGCTGAAGATATGCCACAAGCATCTCCTCAACAAATATCTGCTATATCTTATAATTCAACAGCAATCAATGTTACCTGGTTACCAATAGATCCTACAAGAGAACTTCTACGTGGAAAACTTATTGGATACAGGGTATGTATTTATTATATGAATTAATGTAAAATGTATGACTAAATTTGTTTTTGTTTTTTTTTTTTAGTTGAAATATTGGAAAAAAAATTCTCTTGATAAGGAAGAAGATGCTGTGTATTATTTAAGCAGGACCACTAGACCTTGGGCACTTATTGTTGGTCTTCAACCAGATACTCAATATTATGTTAAAGTAATGGCCTACAATTCTGCGGGTGAAGGACCAGAAAGTGAAAGATTTATAGGTGAGAAAATTTGTTGTTTAGTTTTTTTAACAATATTTTTATTCAACTTATTGTATATTCTAATTTATTTTTTTTTTTAATTACAATTAATGATCTCAACTGTGAAGATCATTGACAATACATTTTACCTGTTAGCTATTTTTATCCTACAATTTCATTTTTGCTTATAAATAATAACAAATTTGTGGGTTTCAGAGCGTACATATAAAAAAGCACCTCAAAAACCACCTTCAGCTGTAAGTGTTATAGGTGAAAATCCAGATACTATACGAGTTAAATGGCGTTATGTTGCTCCAACTCTTGAAGAGGAACCAATCAAAGGATATAAGGTTGGTGATGAATTAATAATTGTGTAGTCTAGATATTTAATACTTTTTAATGAAAAGATACTTTTCCTACTAACCTAGTTTAACCGTTTGGTTTATTGCAGGTACGAATCTGGGAATCTGATCAGGATATGAGTACAGCCAATGATACAATTATTGTTGGCAATATACTAGATACATATATTTCAAAGCTGACTCCTGGAAAGATATATAAACTTCGTGTTTTAGCATATTCTAATGGTGGAGATGGACGTATGTCATCGCCAGCACATACATTCCAAATGGGTATGTAATAATAAAACTATATATTTTTGTGACCATGTTTATAGACAAGTAATACTTAAGAAAAACTAAATAGGGCAAGAGAAATGTTATTTTTTTTATTTACTAAGTCCAAAATATATTTAAAATATTAAAATAAATACCATTTACTATAACAGTATGATTAACAATCATTTATTAAATTATATTTTAGTTTCTTCAACTGAAAATACTCATAAATAATTATACTCTGTTAATTTTAATCTCACTAGTTTTAATTGTTATTTCAAAATCACTAATTTAAACATCTTAGTATTTATGGACAATGATACATAAATTATTATTATTACAGGAAGTTATAATAAGTAATTTTAATATTGCTTTATGTTTACTAAAATAAACTATTCAATCAATACCAATAAATTTGATGTAAGTAGAGGTTTGACTGTTTTTTTATTCATTATCATATAAAGTTTGCTTTTTAGAGATAATATTTGGTCAATAGTTTTCTATTTTTGGTTCATATTTTTATTTGTGTCGGTTTATCATAAATCAATTGATTACTAGTAAAATAAATATATTATTCAAAAAAAAAAAAATTTTAGAAACATAATTATGATATCATATATTATCAGGTATTAATTACTTTTTAAAATGGCATTATACATATTTAACTAGCTTAAAAAATTGAAAATAATTTAATCATAAAAATGACTGGTCAATAACAATTTTTAGACTAGTACTTTAGAACTTATAATTATATTTATACCTACTCAGGAGAATAGTACTATTGATAAAAATAAAACCACACCCGAGTCCCATTACCAGTTGATACTATAAAATGTTAATAATTTCCGAAATATTGGTCCAAAAGTTATTTTCATAATTATATCATTTTGAACTTAATAAGCTAGTTAAATATTTATGATGTAGTTTAAAAAAATATAGTTGAACATCCCTATAAGGTATTAGGAATAATTCTAAAAACTAGTTAATAGCTGAAAAATCAAGAAATTAATGAAACAAAAATTTTTTTTCAATATTGTATTTGTTTGTGAGTAATTAAGTGATTTATGACAAACCAATCGCTCTGTATATTCATTATTGAATTTTTTAACTAAAGATAACATTATGATATTGCTTGTTTTTCGGTTTGGAATTGTAAATGTTGCTACAATAACATAACATATATGAACACAGATTCATTAACTATAAATAGAATAATTTTGATTATATTTAAGTTATCTTATGAGTGTTATAGTTTTGATCTAAAATTTAATTTATTATACTGCCATAATTTTATTAACTGATATGATATAATAGTAAATGTTACTTTTTTTAAGAGAAGTAGAATGATGAAATCAAATGATTCATGTATTGATTAAAATAATTTTACATGATAATAATTGAAATAACTTTTTTAATTGACTGAATAATTATGATATTCTCTTGAATTATTATGTTTTTATTTGTGGTAATTTTGTTATTTCAAAATATTTTATGAATTATTCACTATTATAATATAATAATTTAAATTAAAGTAAGTAATGAATGTAAAAATTTAATGTTTACTGTTGCTTACCAATTTTTAAAATACTTCATTTATATTATACTATCTCATATATTAAAAAAATTTTAGATTTTGAACAAGTGTAAATACAGAGAATGTAATAAAACAAATCAAATCATTTTTTACATGACAAAATAAATTACAACATTCTATAGAGTAGTGCATAAAAAATGATTGATACTTACTATTTTATTATTTCAACTAATATGGGGTATGAAAAAAGTATAGAATTATTTTGAAATAAACCATAGTTCCAAGTTTGCAATGTTTTTATATTATGAGCTGCAATTTTTTTATAGCTTAGTTTGTTGTCATGTAATGGTTTGCTAATTTAACATATTAACTGTATTTTGTAAAAATGGTGTATTCCATTAAAACTAATTTTTTTTCAGGATAAAAAACCATCTTGATTCCCCATTATTGCACAAAAATATTTATTTGTTAAACACATCACAGGAAAAAATGCTATTATTCTTGAAAATCTTAAATCTAAAAACTATTTTAGTTAATTTTTTTTATACTAATTATGACCTATACTTTAAGTAATAAATATTTTATTTTTCATTTTTCTCATAAAAAAAAAAAATTAACATTTTTAGCTTCCATGCGATGCTGTGAAGGTATTAATTTTACTATGATGTGTTTATTCATTTATTATTTTATTGTTAAATGTTAGTACAGTCTAAGAAAACTAACTATTTACATTGCTTCTATTTGCGCTCATGTAGAACTATGTAGATAGTATTCATGAAAGTAAAAAATATATTAGATTTTTATGTAACAATGGAATTTTCTCAATTGTTGAAAGTTAATTCCAGTATTAAACATTTTAATTTCTATACGTTTTCCCTGAGTTAAACTTTTTGCCTATAATAATTATAAGTCTTTTTTTATACAGTTATAGTAATTATTTAGTATTATTACCTATATATTTATTTGATTTTTTAGGAGATCCTAAAATTTATTCACCTAACTCAGCTACTAGAAACTCTGTCATTTTCATAATCATATTATCATTGGTACTGAAATTGTTTAGTATTGTATAACCATTTATTGATTGTCACATTTATGTACACTAGCACCATATACTCATATAAAGTTTATCGATTTCAAATAGCTGAAATTATTATTTTTTGTAATATGTGTTATGTATTTTAGACTATATTAGATTTTAAGTCTTATAAATGAACAATTTTTCATATAAAATGTTTTTGAAAAAGTTCGTGATAATTTAAAATTTCTTAACTCTAGTAATACTAGTAATAGTTTACTAAAATACATCCCCTCAAAAAAAATTATATATAATATAGATAATGTATATGTATATTATATAAATATATATATACGTATATATTTAAGTAAAACAAGAATTCTCAATTATTAATTTAAGTGACTGAATTTAAGTTATTATGATTTGTAATGATAATCTTTAGTCAACAAATCCGTCCATTAAAATTAAGATATTTTATACTTAAAAATAAGGTAATTTTTTTTATTAATATTGCAGTAATTTTTATGTACAAGCAATACATGTTTTATAAATAGATTACTATTGACTCTCAGAATTTTTAAACAATGTATCAAAGTGTTTTTTTAATTATTATTAGAAATATTTTTTAAAAATATATAATTTTGACAAATAAATAATAAACAAATAATTGTTTTGTGTTTTTATTTGATAATGCGTTGATTTCATGAAAAATTGCACAATTAAAAGGACAACCTTTATAGAAATGGTAATTTATAAATGTGTTTGCATATATATTCTGAAATGTTTAATTTTCTAACATAAAATAAGTTATAAGAATAGTATTCCGTTAGAAATTTCTGTCATTTAAAACTGTATTGAAATAAAAATTTTAAATCATTCACAAATTATGCTTTTTCAAAACTACCCTGATCAAATTCAGGGATATAGTTTCCGAATACATTTGAACCGCAAAACTTATTATTAGGCTCGCTAAGCTATAACATACTAGATAATAACGTTTATCTAACTAACGTTAGATCTTCTAAGTACGTTTTTAAATTTTCTATTTTAATCTCTACCTACATCTGTGCTTCAAATAATAATATATTTTGATATTTTTTATTTCGCATAGCGCTTAGTGGAAGGATATCGTGTTCTACGTCGTCGTCAGTTTTGTCGTGATTATTATGCACTTATTTTTGCATTTGTCGTTGTATTGCTGTCGCGTTATGCGAAGACAATGTTTGGGTTATACAGGTGATAGTGGTGGCGCCAACAGACCCCCTGCATTCCTGTCTTACCTCAATATCCGTGTGAAGAAGGGCAACGGGCCCAGAGCATACGACGGAATGTAATGTACAGGGTGTGCCATACCTGTAATAATTCGTAGTAAATTATATAAGATTCTTGAAACATTACTAATAATAGTGCTGCTATAATCGATGCAATATACATTCGCATCAAATTTTAATTACAACATGGAATAACTCAAGTTCTATTGTACTAAAATTTTTTTAAAAGATGATTGACTACTATTGACGAATAACATTTTGTTATTTACCACCAGAATTCATTTAATTTTGTTGATAAGCTATACCAGACTTTTAAAATGACATTTGATTTATTCAAAGAAGTATAACTTAAAGGCATAGATGTTTATCTGATTGAAGTTGTGATACTGCATTTCATCAAAAATCCTTCACCACCCTATAAAACGGCTTCATTTGCGCTCACCCATTAATCGGACGGGACCCTTTTGTAATGAGTACACCGTCGCCGCAGGTCTACAGGTGGCAAATCGGCGGCCGTTCTTTTATTAGATACTCACACTCTGTATGCGGTTGAAATTATTATTATTACTTATTATTCTAGTCGCAGTCTTTACTCCTACTACAAAAAGGTCCACCTTGTCGATATTTTTCGGCCCAAAATTGCTCTGGAAGAGTAACCGCGAGAAATAACTCAAACACGACCACTAGCCACAGTCACTCAGAACCTGTTGCCATCAAACTATGGGTAGGAAATATTATAATGTACATGGCGAGCGACTTAATGACGATAGCACATTTACCCAACCTAAAATAATCCGTTTAAAGCCATCTGATCAGTAAAATTATTAATCATCTATCCAAACCGAAGACGAATTAAAGAGAGCTTATTGCAGCGACTAAATAACTCCACAGTTGAAAACTTTTAAGGAGAAAAAAACAAATTTGATTAACATGTAAATGTAGCAGAAATGATCAGACCGTATCTGTCACACTTTTTCGTTAAGTAATTTCTACCGTAAAAACAAATTCTCAAATAAAGTGATGTCGACTGTCTGATGCAGAATTCCCTTCTATTGATATCAATGTATTTTCAAAATACAACAAGCTAACATTATTCTAAAATTAATGGTTTATTACGATTTCTAATTATTTAACCAATAACCACTGTCAAGTATCAACTATGAAAAGAATGTTGAATTCTATCGAATTCGCATACTAAAAAAAACTGATTCTTTCAACGTGAATTTTCGAAATTCAGTTGCTATGCACAACTCATATTAACAATACTAACAATCGTTCTCAAATCTAGAAAGGTTTTGTTATTTATATTACAGCAATTGTATAAAACGCGTGATGTCAAACGCAATAACGTTTGACAAAATTATAATTATCGCTTCTATCAGCACGATGGCAAAATATTCAAACGGGTACATAGGATGTCAAATGGACGATGAAAGTAAGTAAAATACCTAAAATGACAGAAATAATCAAACATTAAATATTTGAATATTTTCGTCAATTAATTTCTATGCTTACCCGTTTACAAGATGTATTTTATAACTTAATAAAGTCAAATATTTTTTGACTATTAATCATTATAAGCCAATACCCGTGTTAAGATAAGTGATTTCATAGTAGCCGATAACTAATTGTTCTTATACTCAAAAGAATACGGAAAATAAGTCGGAGAGAGGAAACTTCTTTTTCTAGCTTAATGTTTTAGAGGCCTAAAATTACAACAAAATATTACACGGAGATGTAAATGTCGGTCTCGTGAATATGAAAAGAAAACTTTTTAATACGCCTAAACTAATATATCGTAATTCACAAACGACTAGCCCTTTTAAAGTATTTTCTTTTTTTGTCGATTATAAACTGTTATCATCAGATGAAAATTCATTTTTAAGATGCCGATTGGATGTTGCTTAAATACGATCTAATCAATCACGAAAGGAGTATTTACCCGAAGTTACCCATAGTTAAAGACGACCGTATAATCTTAGATGATTTATCTGATCGGAAAGAAAAAAGGGAATCTTATTCGCAATCTCAAATTATCAATTACTTTGATCCGCTGCGTGCTGAAGTAGAAAACAACCAACAGAGACATCATTTTTGGAACAATCGAGTTAACGACAACAATAAACACACAACTAAGTATGAATTTTGTGCAAATAACGACGAAACTGCAATTAAAACATAAATTATTCTTTCTTTAATACTATCATTGTTTATAGTGATAACAAAAAAGTTCATTAAGCATGTAAATTTATTTTTAAACAATTTATCCTTTATATTTTTCCTATCTTGTATATTGTTATATTGCTCAGTATATTAATAAAAAAAGAAAATTTTAAATGATTTAAAGACGTTATTAAAAGGGTTTTTTCAGAAAAGGTGGTAGCTTCACACTATTGGAATTTGAATTTAGGGATCTTATGCTGTAAAACAAAAGCAAAAAAATAATAATTGTTTAATTTAATTCTAAGAAAAATCAACTACATTTATTTACTGTTAAGTAGTTTAATAAATCAAATTAGTATCGCGATTGTATTTTAATACATTTTTAACGATATTCTTAAAATTATAAAATATGGAGTTACCTATTTTTTTTTGCAACAAACCCTTAAATTTTAATATACTTCCAAAAATTTCCAAATTGATCAAGAGAGAATGTTTAAAAGCTGTTCAATAAAAAATGAGATTTTAATGCACTAGAGATAATTTTTATTCTGGTTTCAATAGGTAAATAATAATATAAAATTGATTAACGTCTATAATTAGATTGGAGAACGAATTCCTTTTTTTTATGGTCTAACTAAATTTTCTCAGTCATAAGCCACAGACACATATTGTTGTCCATTTGTCATCGTTGGTTGACACTGAAAAAAATTCAACAATATCTTCTGTACCCCTAGTACAATTTCCGTTTGATTTACTAGTTCACTCAAACAAAATTAGTTGTGGTGGTGGACGTCGCCATTCCCAACTTTTGACGTTGGCCACCTAACCAGACCTAGTAAATATTGCGTCATTTCCTGAACCCCTGGTACCATTTTTTCAATTTCATTTGCCACCGTCGCGACACGAAAAAGTGAGATACTTTGTAATATAAGTTGCCTATATACGACCCCTTATTTTATAGGCTCGATCCGAAAAAAATTATTCATTTATATTTATTTATAAGGCGGTTCGACGCTTAGTTATTTAATTTTTGGTAACTTTATTACACAATAATGTGGTATTTTTAAATATATATATATATGATGTACATAACCATAGTTGTCAGTGTATGCCAATCAAAGAATAAAACTGAGCTTGAATATGGGGTTACCGAGAACAAAAGGAAAATATTTTAAAGTCATTTTATTACAGTTGTAGGGAACAGAAAAAACGCAATTTAATAACTGGGTTAAAAAACCGTTTGAAAAAAAAAAATCCAACAACAAAAACCATAAAACTTTTGTGAACGGCGACATATAGGACTATAAAATGAATGTGGTGATAAAACAAAAATGATCACAATCCGACCTATGTAATGAATGAATGGGAAATAAAACGGTGTAAAGGTATACCAGCATTGTGTTTTAATCGCACTATAACCGTGTTTGTTGGTCTCCTCGATCCTTGTTTATTAACTTAATTGAGAAATTTCATCAGACCAAAACGACTGGTCTACGGGCAAAAGGTTATTTTACGGCACCTATAGCCGGAGATTCCCAGAAGCGGCACTCCCTTTGGGTGCTCATGCGAGAGAAACACACGGGCCCCCTCTGATTTACTTCCTCTCGTGTTTATGTAAAACTCTCAAGTTTGATCATTTGTATTTGTCAACCGCGAACTTTCTCGTTATATTCGGAGCAGCTTTTAAAAATAAAAAATCGCATGGATACAAATAGACGATTCTCTGAGGTCGAGTTATGGCAAATATCTTTTTAATAATTGAAGTTTTACACGAATGTTCATGAAATCAATTTTACACGGTCTGATTGACGCCCCCGCGAAACACTGGACCTCAGAGACGACCTGCTGATTTCCATTGCCCCACACGCGTATTGCATGACATCAATACCCCGAACAATTAAGAAAAAGGTATTAGTTCACCCAATAATACAGTATGGAGATCGCCTCCCACTAGAGGAGGGTCGCTTTTCGCGTGTAAAAAATAATTTATCGCGGTGAAAGAAAGAAAATATTTCTTGCCGACCGCAAGTGAAGTCTCACGCGACCGCCAGCATATTAGCTATGTATGAACGTGAACGGGTATCATAAAAATAAAAAAAATACTGATACGGCCGTGGAAGATGTAATAACTACGTGTATACTCCTCAACAGTGTACCGGCAGCAGACCAAATGGATTGGTTGTACTTAATGATAAACATAAGCGGCACTTAGGAAATGCGTCTCAATTGTTTTAAAATATCAGTATTAATTCCAACAGCTGGATATTATTGTTAGTGTATTGTTGTACACAGTTTGGATATGATTGTATTATCTTAAGTCATAATTGTGATGATCGCATCATAGTTATGTTGTCTTACTCGATGAATAGTCAACTTGCATAGAGTTGTATATTTGTCATACTTATAGTAAAAGACAAGTATTATTCGTGGCATATTTATTCAACCTATCTCCATTTATCTAATTATTTTACTCGCACTAATATCTCAAAGAAGAGCTGAATTTGTACTTAATATGATCCGATTAAAAATCATATTATGATTTTTGGTTACGGAATATGTTCTCAAAAAATAAATACAAAGTCTTGAATAAAAATTAACTGTATTTTTATTGTAATGTAATAGTTGGCGCTTTTAATAATACATATAATATTCGTTATAATATATTTATCATGGAGTTTTAAATGTTATTTTATGGCACATAAAAAAAAAAAAGAACATTTAACATGACCAGATCGACTCAACTTATAAATCTAATTCTGAAAATCTACGCGTTAATTAACATTCGACATAGATAAAAAAAACAGACAAGCGCACACTGCAAAACATGCGTCATAGTTACAAAAAGCCTGTCAGATAATTATACATTTTATTGGAACACATATTATTCGGTATACAAATTAGTTAGTCTATAAAGATTTGTACTAATAATTACGAAAAGAAAAATATTATGACAATTAAATGGCTTGGAAAATAAAGCGCACGCATTAACACAGTAGATATAGTATGGATACATAGTTTATATACATGTATAATATATATATATATATATTGATATATTATATTTAATAAAAAAAACTTTTTTTACAAAACATTAAAAAAAAAACAGCATCTCCATAAAAACATTACTTAGTAAATGCTTATCTTCTATAAACTTATCAAAATAAATAAACAAAAGTTTTGTGAACAAGACTTTCTGTTCTTAACATAATATTCTATGAAATATACCTTAAAAGAACATAAATATAATAATATATATAAATTATTCATAAATGAATACAATTAAAACACAATATTAAAATTTATAATTAATCTTGTTTTTGACTATTTTCAGTTGGTAACAATTCTAAAAATGTATTTCCACTTACTCTATATTTATTCTTATGTATGTACACACACATACACACAAACACACACACACACAAACCTAATACCTAACAAAAGCCTTATTGCTACTTCTATGCGAAAGAAAAAGGATAACCAAGGATGATACCAGGAAAGTTAAGGGGAAAACAAAATGGGACTGACTATGTGCCATCATTATTCAATGAAAGTTGGTCTAATTCGTTGAACATTTTTCTCTTTCCGATCTAACCCCTTCACACTAATAGATAAATATATTATTTCCTAAGTGGGTGTTACAGTCTACACTGTGTGATCGTCAGATTATCCTCAAGACGATTCAGTTATATACAGTAGAAATATAATAGTTATGATAGTAAGAATACATATATATAAATGTAATGTAATAAAAAAATGATAACGCGGTTAAACATTATCCCCAAAAACACAGAGTACAGTCACCGTCGATTCCCATTTCGACAATATTACCGGGATCTATACAAAATAATAAAATACTTAATTACAAAAAAAAAAAATTAAATAATTAAGGAGTTTGAAACTGAGGTATATTACATATATAAATACAATAAAAACAAATGCTAAGTTGTTCCTACACGAAAACAGTAATGACTGATGGTGATGCCTATACCATCGTCATTCATATGCTAACGAAATGAGATTTATGAATCAAGTTGAGGATGTCTCTCTACGGGGACCTTTATCCCAATACTTGACGACCTAATGGAAGACACGATTTCTATCGGTGAATATATTTCGGAAATTTACAGAAAAAACAAAAAGAAATGCAAGATAATATTATTTGTACAAACAACTAGTGCAGCGGCCTCTCACATAATTTATACAAAAACAACATATATACTTTTTGCATAAACACTCTTAAAAATTAACAATAAAAATGTAATATATAAAACTGTTAAAAAGTCAATAGGACATATTCTCTTTCCTTTCTATATTCTTTGTACCTCTTTCAATGTAAATCATAATAAATAATATCATAGTACATCATAGCACACGGTAAATAATGATTAATTTTAAAATTGATGAAACTTCGAAAATTGGTAAAAAAAAAAAATACACGTATAACGCGAAAGACAGGCGTTATGGTTGTAAAATTTGCAAGATAAAATACCAGTTGTTGAAACACATTACCTAGCTATGGCTGACAATTTGTAAAAATAAATAAATAAATAAAAAATAAAGACTTGAGCGTCAGATATAGAAATCGCACAACTCCCTGTATTCAGATATACTTTCATCAGTCAAGTCTTTGTTCAAAATATATAATATAGTTTAAAATAAGTAAATTATTTGTCAAAAAACTATTCGGTAGCCTATATAAAAAAAAAAGTTGACAATGAACCTATCTTTACAAAAAATTAACGCACATAGCGAAATTCATATCATCAAATACACGATTCACAGAATCCAATATATGTAAAAAAAAATTGTATTTGGTTTTATTGAGGATAATCTTAATTTCTTGTTTGCTGTTTGGCCGATGGAAAGAGAAACATTTGTAAAATAATTTTTACGTTTACAAATGAATATTGGAAAAGCTAAGTCAGCGCAAAAGGAAAAGTTTCATTGCCTCTCCTACAAAAAATTAATCTTATTTAAATCGACTGATTTTTTTTTAAAGGAAACCTGTTTTTACTTAAAAATATAATGTGGACCTACACATTTATGCGAGTAACCTTAACGTCTAATTTCGATGATACTAGTAAAATAACACATCAACCTATTTAGTGTTTTACAGAGTTATAACTTATGTTCCTTAATAAAAAAAAATAATAATAATAAAAACTAAACATATGGATTATATTACGAGGTTTACTTCTTAAGTCTTGGCGAATGGTTTAAATCCAACAGTCTGAGTCTTCGACCATGGCGGTCTTGTCGTATGGTTTTTCATACAATCCAAACTCCAGCTCCTTCCGCTGTCGTTTGTGCATCTCGACCATCTCTTCGATTTGCTCTTGACAAGTTTTCAGGTACTCCTAGAGACAAATAGTTATTGTAATTAGCCAAATCCTTCATGTTCAATTAGAGAGAAAAAAAAGCGTTTTAAAAATAATTTCAATATACTTGAAAATTCAGAATTAGGTAACTATAGTTATTTATTACTGGTTATCTAAGCCATAGCTCAAACGCAAGATAAATCAAAGGCTTACTTTTGTCAAGCCGGTGATGTTGTATAAATTAGTCAACAAATCTAGCTTGTTTATGGTTGACAATTCCAGTCCGTTAAGAGCAGCTGCGATACTAGCCGCGGCGATGATGCTCGGTTGATACGAACAAAATTTGTAATCTAAAAAAATAAATGTAATTTTTAATACATTACAGAATTGTTTAAAATTTCAATATAATCACACGAGTAATTAGAATTATATTTTAAATTATGATAAGTTACTGTAATGTGGGTTAACTTTGATAATACTGTACCTATTTATTTTAATTTTACCAATGTAAAACAACAATTTTTATAAAAAAAAAACGAACGTTAATGGCATTGTATAATATTTGACAACTTAGTAAAAATGGGTACTTAAAACAGATATTGATCTAATTTCAAACGTGCTACCTCATCAATACCGAGAAAATATCATCGATAGTACACTATCGATTACAGAATATTCCTATAAGAATCAGTCTTAAAATTATTTCGAGAGCAATTATTTTGAGTTATAACAATAGAAAATATTTGGCGCTAAAAGTTGACAAGAAACTACCACGTAGATAATAAAATAAACCGACAATAAATTGTATTTAACTTGATTAACGTCTGACGTTTGTATAGAGCGGAACAAAGATACAATTATCACACTAGGAGTCAATATTGTTCAGACTCGGTAAGTCGAGCGGACGGGTCTGCACAATAGACGTGACAATGCGCACTCGTAGGAAGAGTGAAGAACATAACAGAGGCTGGATGTAATTTGGCGCGCCAAATAAAAATCTGGATACAATGGGATGATAGGAGAGAGATGAAAACAAAAACAGAATATAATATCGAACCAAATCGCCTAACCCGGAGGCTAATGCGCGTCCGACCGGATACCACCACAGCCGCATTATAACAATCGCTCTAAAAACCGCTTTTTCAACAAATGTATTGGAATCGCAATACACATTTAAAAGACACATACTTTGCACAGCGAATAGTTAGCGCAAAATACGATTTAAAAAATAACACACAATGTAAAACAAGTCGTAAATAACATTAGAGGGAACATGATCCGATCCCGAGTAACTTGCAGCCCGAATGGCCGGAGCAGTGATCTAATTCACATCGCTGGATCTCATGTTATCGAACAAGAGATGCATGTTGAAAACGCATCGTAATAAAGTTGTAAGACACGAATTGAGAGGTAAAAAGTACATAAATATTTGCGAAGAATTTGTGTACCAGACTAACCTAAATAAATAATTAGGACGGATAAATGGCTAAACCGACCCAAGAGCATTCAAAATCGACCAAGGATAGTTTCCAAATAATTAACGTGCCATTTTTCTCGCTATAAATATCAAAACAGTCAATGGACTCTAATTTTGACATTTACTCGAATACTTAAAAATACGACACCATGTGCGTTTAAGTAAAGTATCGATAGAACATAATGCTAAATTTTATCTGGAACACTATTGACGTTTCATTGGCGGTAGTCCTCAAAATAAAAAAAAAAAAAAAAAAACACAGCACATGTGTATGGCGAAAACAGGAAGCGACGGCGACAATGCCACCAAGGCCATCCTATCCCGTCAAACCAATTAGTTTTTCAGAAATCTATCACACGAGCCGGGGGTTTTTTTTTTGTTCTAAGCGAGACCACACTGTCAACTACAGAAAATATTGATACTTTTTTAAACTTTCAATACATCAGTCTACGAGACTTCATTGAATACAACGACAAAGTCACTGCGAATGAAGTATTATGTTTAATTCAAGGTTCCCTCCAACAGGTACTACTTCCCGTGATGGTTGGGTTATTATAAAAATGAAAAAAAAAAAAGGATTATTGTTGTTTTTACTCCATTTTACAGATTATCAGATAAACATTAGCATGGGTTTAATGTGAAAGGGAACGCTTATAAACAACATATATATATATATATATATATATATATATCATCTGTACTGTACAAGTAGTCTAGACGCCCTGGGCCGTTCAGCAGGAGCAAAGAGAGGACCGCGCTCAGGTCCTCTTTCCGCAGACTGCCATGTATTCTCCTCCACGTACCGGTGGTCTAAATCATATGTTGTTCAACACAGCATTCTTCTCTCGTCCTCCTTTGTTTCGCCAACTCGCATAACACATCTATGCATACGCGGGGGTGATGCTGGTACGTGACTGAGTTTCTATATGAACGCGACCGGGAGAGGGATTGTGCTCGAGTATGATTACTTAATAAATCTTGACACAGCAGCAACGGGGTCCTGTTGTCCGCGACATCCATAAAAATAATACACACATCGTCGTGTCTTTTTTTTTTATTAATATTACACCGACAATAAATTTCAACTGATAAGTGACCATTGATAGTGTCATAGTTGTGGCGACCAAGGCTTCTCCCATATGTTGGGTGTTCATATACCCAAGAAAAAGCACTGCGACTGTTGGGTGCAATTATCACACAGCTTAGTCTATCTGACCACATAAGTAGATAAAATATTAGGCAATGTCTACAATTAAATTGTATATAAAAAAAGGGCGATTAGCGGATGGCCAAGACGAAAAACGTTTTGACGAGGCAATAGTTATTTCGTTCCTAGACATGGCCGGCAAAATGATAAGACAAAATGCAAATTAAAATCCCAGGTACTGTCATAGTATAATATAAATAAAACTAGGAGCATTTTAAGTATTTACAGTAAAAAAAAAAATAATAATAATAAAATTAAAGAACAGAACGAAAGAGAGAGATGGAGAGAACGCGTGCGAAAAAAACCTGACGACAGCAGCGTTATAACACATTTTTTTTAAATTTTTATTACAATACCGGTTAGCCTAAACCGCAGTAATTTTTCTACTACAGGGGGTCGAGATGTCGGGTATTTTAGGTAATTACATTGTATTCGGGTTTCTTCAAAGATTATAAAATTCGAAATTTAAAAACTAGCCGTTATTATAAATTCTCAGGTGCGTATCAAAATAGAAAATCTCGAATGTATAAAACACCAACCACATTCATAATAGACGGCTTTATCATCCCGAAGTCAATCGTTTCCCAAGAGATAGATAATGAGACAAACTGATCAGGGAAAGCATCTGAACAACCGAGAAATAGTGTCTTTGCGAGAATTGATTCTATGAAGAATTGCTTTCTGTATGGGATCTTACTGATCACTTCCTTGTAGTATTACGCCAGTTTATGATTAATTGCTAAGTAATGGTTAATATTTTAATTAAAAATGTCTTTAGCGGGATGACAATTAATCTCTGGATTCAAGGAACACCACCAAAGTGAAGGACGAAAGCAAACCCAAGTTGATACATTTTGCATACAAACAACAACAGCTTAGACAAGAGGATCGAATAACTGTCATTGTTCATAACGAGCTTGCACACAGTACAGATAGCAAAATAGTGTGGTGATTAACGAGCAAATTTACTTGCAGACAAAAGAGTAGGGAAAAAATCTGCGATACGAAGTAATCCTGTTTTTGCGCAGTTTTCTCGGAGACCTTGGAGGGACTGTATAATATATTACACGGATAGTCATGTGTACCTCTTCGGGTACGCATACCGCCGCGCTTACTCCCGGTCGTCTGGAATGTCGACAAAACCTGCTGAACCCCGTTCAAGGACTTTGGGTTTTCTCGACCAACAACAATAACCGCCGCCGACAACGTCTCGACGACCGTAATCGGTGGTCGGCGGTTTCCACACACTATCGCGCAGATAGCATTCCGATTCAGCAATAATTGTATTAGTAATTCGTGATCTTCTTTTTTTGTACCATTACGCGTTATCCCCTTCGATCGAACGTGCGGCGTTTGTTGAATCAGCAGCAGGACCTAAAAGGAAACCCGTTGACGAGCCAATACCCCTAGAACAGAGTCCGACCCCACTGTCGAGTGCGACACGAGTCGATGCACTTCCAGGCAAAAAAAAAAAAAACCTTTTCTCAGTCTGGACTCTAACAGATCCTCTGTTAAGAGTCCATATAACCTTTTGGTATCGTTATTTTTTGCAAACAATTATTTTCATTAGACTCGCACCTAAACATTAGTCGGCCTTGGCAAATGTAATAACTTGGCAAATAATTAAATTAACAATTTAGCAACAACTCAATTGAATGCGAGAGACCACCAGACCGCCGTGTGAGATTTAACGAAGCCTATTAATATATACATACCTACACAGAAATAAAATGTAAAAGTGCTCAATAATTATTAACCGGCGGCCGACAACGATACCTCAGACACACAGACGACAAAAAACACAAGTCATAATAAAAAAAAAAACAAAACGGCCAATGTTCTTTTGATTTCCAAAAACAACGAGTTGCGCGCGTACGTGGTCAATGCGAATTGGCTTAAACAGTCTAAAACGTTTACCAGAGTTCTGGTTACGGTCGAGATGCGAGTGGGTCGCGGGACGAGAGAGGCGCAACCGCGCAAAATGCCACAGAGCACTTTGGAGTAACAATATCATCTGCGCGTATTAATGCGTTTCACGCCGCCGCCGCCGCCGCTGACGTTTGATTGGTATCTGTTCACTGTTCTTCAAATACAAGTCTCGTTTCTCGGAGGACCTGCGTTGTCGTTCCCAGGTAAAAATTAACGAGAACCGAATACAAACGAGGGAGATCGGTAGAGTTTAACGAATGGTACTCGAATCTCATAATAGAAAATTCTTTTAGACGCATTTCACTACTACAAAGGATTTTTTTAACCATTTCAGTAATAACAATTTCTCCAGATTCGTCTTGGCCGCGTTCGTCATTCACGATACTGTGTAGCATACAGAAGACACACATGTGATGCCGCCGGTCGGAAACAAAATATTCCCAAGATTGCACACTGAATACAACGCCCACACAACAAGTGAACGCACGCACGAGCGTCGTGTACAGAGGTTAGTGTAATGGAAAATAATAATTTTGGGTCGTAAAATAATAAACAAACTACGGGAAAAAATCTTAAATGGGCCAAGACGTTTTTCGCTCTACAATGTTAATATACTTACTCTCTATACACGGTTACAGTAAATAACATTGGATTGAATAGAGTGCGTCACAAAAGAGGTGTTTTGTTTCAACGCGAGAAATATCTTTTAAATAAAATACAAATGATTTCTTTTAAATTATTTTAGTAACCAACGTCGTCTGTGTAAGCTGTACGAGTAGCACGCAGTAGTGGACCGATCGACGATGAACAGTGACAGCCAACCGAGGGACTTCTCCGTGTTCTACTTATTGTCATTTGTCTTGCAGCCAATTTTTGACGGTAATAAAATAATTAGCAATATTAATGTCATACCGTTCATCGAGTCGTGTTAGATTACAGAGAATTAGTGACACTAAAACAGCGTGTACTGTCACACACCGGCAAATCATTGATGCTTATGCTCATAATGACACTCATAGCTAGCCCGCATACTTACAGGGACAATCTTAATCTGTCGACCCTGGACGGTCGTGTCATTATTATCAAGTTACAAGGTGATATGGTCTAGCTAACGACACACGGTTTTTACGAATGTAAAACCTTCATTCTCCGGAGAACAAAAAAAAAAAAAGACATATATATAGTAGTAGTATATATGTAGTATGTATATATAAATACAAAACTCAAACACGAGTAGTGAAATAACACTATTCTCGATCCTCTCTCGGTGTACACAACGCACGCACGTAGACCCTGAAGGATGACAGCAATAATATTATTACAGCCAAAACGAAAACAAGCAAATTGAGTAAATCACACAAGTTTCCGGTCAGAAATCGACGCGAGGCGAATAGGTTTGAGTATCGATAGCCAAACTCAAATATAAATTTAGTAGTCTCTATGTACATTTTTCCACCATATCTTAGCAGAAAATCAGTAATTATGACACGCTGGACTTTTGTTATACCTAACCATAAACGAGGTAAAAAAAAAAAAAAAAAACATCCATAATTTAAAAATCGTCGTGAATTTCATTTACTGGGTCCCTGTCGAATATATGGTTGTTGCAAAAACACTGGTTTCAATAAGGGCGTTCTAATTACACCAAGTAATTTTTGTTAATCAACGTTATCATAACGTAGTCATTATCCTCGTTCGAACGCCGCGAAAAAATCTTCCGGTAAAATCAACAAATGCAACATCGTTTTTTCAATTTAACCGTTATATCTGTTTAAAAAAAAAATTGTTTTTTTTTTACTAAGCAGTTTTTTAGTGATATTTATGAAATAAATGATGTGCGCGGGTGTAAAATCGAAAAAATTGTAAAACACAACCGTTTATGTAAACGTGATAAAGACAGAAAAGTAAAAGGTGCAGGTGAATTTCATGGGAGGTTATTTTTTATTGTGCTACACGTGCGGACCGTATCGCACCGCCGCCAACAGGGGTCTTAAAAAATTGTTTTATTGACACTTTTTTCACATGATCGTTACATGGTCATATTTATGTATATGTTAAACTATACACACACACAAACACACACCCAAGTACCGAGTACTGAATATAATAAAAAATAAACTGTTTTTTTCACGGCGGTAAAATGGTTAAGTAAAAGAACAAATGAGAAAATAATAAAAACACCGAGTGTGAGAAAACGTTGGCAAACGTAAAGCAAATCGCATTTATCTGACAAAGAAAGACATAGTCAAGTAGATAGTAATAACATTTAAATTATAGTATAACTACTTGTAAGTACTAAGAAAAGTTATTAAATAACAACTGGTTACTTGGAGTTTCGAAAAAGTTTTGCATAATTTATATTGGAATCCTTTCTACACCTTACCTCTCAAATGACAGGTACCTATAATATAATGTTAATGAGTATTTAATTTTTATTCCTCTATGAAATTGGTTACAATGTATACATTAAAAAAAAAAAACATCCCCTTTTCCCGATCACTAATTTGCTATGCACAGACCGTGCGAGTTAAGGTAATTATAAAACAAATAAAAATACAAGTTGGCTAACCAAAAGACATTTTAACATCGTGCAATTGATTTCTATGGGATTCTCGTCGTTTATTTTTATTAATCACACAATGTCATGTCGAGTTCTTCGCGTGGTGGTAGGTCGACCATTTTCGAGATTTATTGAAACTGAAATAGACGCACATAATCGTTGAAATTAAAACCGAATTAAGAAAAAGGTTCGCATCGTTCAGGGACTTCACATGATCACAGGCGAGGGAAACCTGTTTCCGAAGAACCCCCAACACCCTGCACGGTGTAATATACTGGCATTATTTTTTAATTTCTAAATTTAATATTCAATAGAGCTCGGTGGCTAATCAATGGCCAATTGTTACCATTGTTCACCATCGCAAATGGTGAACAAGTTAGATTATCATTATCACATCTCAGTTAACTTCCTAACGCGGTACTTTTGCAGCTGTTTATAATTTATCAAAAGTAAACACTATTTTAAACATTTTTCATCGACTTACCTCTGGCGCACATGCCGATGAACGTCCCGCAGTGTTTGACAACAACGTCCACGAACGCCTTGGCCGTGTCCAAATTCAGTCTTTTTAGTATATACCATAGGAAGTCGTGAGCCGTGATGGCGGACACGTCCCACTTCAGGATGCTCAACAGAAGCAGTTCCCACATCTGTAATGCCAAACGACGTTAAAAACGTGCACAACTCATTTATATAAAAATGTATACATCTAATCAAACGGATTGACTATAAAAAATATACGGGAACAACCAAAGTAACAACGACACAAAAAATATCTACTGCAATAAAGGACGGGCTACAGGAATGACGTTAAAATGATTTATTGCACGGCGCGCGAGTTAGACAATTTAAGTGCACCGGAGAGTATTTTATGCAATACACAAAATACTGTCGTCTCTATCAGAGCCCGTGGAGAGGACGGTGCTAGAAATGGAAGAGGGTCTCAGGTAATCTCGACCGGTATGAATTTTTTTTTGTTCCACGACGTAAAACGCCAGTTATCCGCCGTGATGGTTTCGCTATAGTTCATTCAAACCGCGGGCAACAGTGCGGCGGCGGCGGCCTTTGGTTAGCATTGGTTTTCTCAGAATTTAGATCCTCCCGCCGATCCCCAATGGCCGCCTCCTACGGTGTTCCATTAGGTACAGTGAGTCTTCAGCGACGCGTTCATCATTCAACCGGTATTTCGATAGCGTATGGCAGGGTCAAAATTAATAACAACAAATCCCCTTCGTTTCAGACCATCTACCTAAAATAGTTAACTTATTTCAGGTCACGCGTATATAGCGATCGATTAAAGATTAGAGACAAGTCTCCAAAGGTTAACCGCATTTTTAAATGTACTCGTTTATTAAAAACAAATCGACCGATTTCAGATTCGCCGATAAATAATTGTATAAGAAATGTGCACGAGGTTAAACTGGAAGGAGAGAACAACGATTATTTCAATCTAACGACAATACTTGTTTTTTAATCGAACAACGGCCTACGACAGACGACGGAAAAATAAAACACAATGAGATGGCCACAATCATGATGACACCACGTATTATTGTAACATTGTATTAATAGCTCGTCTAGATTAAAATTAAACTGGCGCGGAGGAGGGTACGTTCCCTAAATGAATCGCCGCGGAGTCGTTGGATTGATAGGCGCAGTGCGCAGTAGCCACCTGTTCCATTCATCAAACCCGACTTGATTAACGATTAACTCGAAACACCCCATTCAAGGTCGACTGAGGGCTCGGCAGCAACCCTTTGTGTTCAGTACACACCACCCGACGATACGTGTACCCACATTAAGTGGAATCGATTCTGTGGCGATCTCAAAGGTAAGTTTATCCTTTCTGCTGCTACAGCGACGTGGTGTCATCGTCGACGTTGAAATATGGTCAAATCCATCGTATTTAGATTAAAATTCCAGTTGGACTCGATATAACGAGCAGCACGAATATGTAAACATCGAGTAAAATGGTACCGCGTCAGTCAGTTTCCAATGTCCACGTAAACAAACAAATATTAAAACAGTGCACTCGATAATAAAGTAGTGGGAAGTAATGACGTATGATCGATGTGTAAATATTGTACGGTAAAATTTTTTCTTTACTCGGTTGCCGAATTCCCATGGTCGAAAAAACATACAGGTGAAGTCATCTTAAAGGTGGTCACCCCCTTTATCCGATATGGAGATAAAGGAATGAATAAAGAACGTTCCTTTCAACGCCGCCAAACAAAAGACGGCAAGAACCGTACTTGTGCTGAAAAATGATACACACCGCGGACAAGATGATTTTTTGGAATGTGCTCAGTCATATGTGAGATTTACAAAAAAAAATAAATAACAACTAACGACACGAAGGAGGTGGGGATATGCAACATAAAATATGTTTACCGAGAAGTGCTCGATGGCCTAACAATACCCACAGGAAAAGGTCGGTTTGGCTGTACAGTTAAAATCTATAAATAACAGGTTATCATTTTCTTTTTTGTTTGCTACGACGACAATTTAGACAAAAATATTAGTTGTTATACTCGGAAATAAAAATAGGCGTCAATAATATTTGATTAGAAAAGTTAATAATAATTGAAGTGTTCAGTACCAAAACAAGAAAATGATTACCATTTCAAACGTTTTTATCTACACAAAAGGGCCCGCTTTTTTTTTAATATTTCACCTCTGAAAACATCAACTAACAAAAATAATCGTTGAAAATATTGACCATAAAAACATAAACAAACACAAAAGAATAAAGAACAACGTTTGATTGGACCTGCATTCATAACAAAAAATGCGTTTTATTTTAATACAATGAATATTATTAGAAATGTATAAGAAAAAAATGTCGATTCTTTAGGCCTCAGCAAAATTGTCCACAATAGATGTGCTCTGCCGACAAACACATTGTTTTAAAAATGTTTTTCGTATAGAAAAGTTTTTATTGACACCAATTATACACAAATAACATCTTATTATAATAATATAGGAATATTAAGAATACATTCTTTTTAAGAGTTCATTGCAAACATATGTACATATAAAAGGCGGCAACAAAAATTTCACTGAAAATTCTACTGAATTTCTCTCGTAGACAATTTAATTAATAAAAAAATATATACACCGATGATAGCCTATGTTTCCGGTCGAAGTTGATATCGACAAATTTTAAAAAATGATAATTCTTTATCATATTAAATTGTTTTCTTTGGTATTAAAACAGTTCTTTCGTTACTGTTTTTTCTTCGATCTGATAATCAAATTTTATTTCCGGACGACTGAACCGAACAGGTCACAATCAAAACAAATAATATTTTTTTTTAGTAATAGAATATTACAAACCACCAACGACCGACAGTTTTTTTAATTTATAAGAAACTAGATAATAATTTTTACCTAAATAATTACTATTAAATAACAATTAAAAATTATAATTATTATTAAGTTTATAAAGTTTTCATGTCGAGTATATCCATTTACTGGGTACTTGTTGAATTATTTAATGCCAAGAATAAAAATTTATAGTAAGTTGGAAACGTAAAAACTTTTGTCTACGTGTATGTTTTTTGACGACTGATATATGTATATATTTAGACAATGACACTAATTTCATAGCGTTTAGTAAATTCAAAACGATATAGAAAACATATACTTTGGTTGTAGATATAACACTTGTGATAAAAGCAAGATAATAAATAGAGACATCATAATTGGAAAATGAGTATTGTACATCTGATGATCATTAAACCAGTTATCACAACAAAAAGGTCATTGATAAACCTACGGCAAGTTTACAGTACGATCAAAAGTACACTACCAATTTCATAAGACCAATTCAAGTATTTTGAATTGAATGTAAAGTTTACACGATTCAAATTTGTATCAAAGTACGACTCGTTTTAACCGTTAGAGGTATTCGAAGCTTAAAAAAAGCTAGTCGAAGGCTTTACAAAATGTTCAACGTATAAAATTTTATTTCTAGGCGATTGTTTTTTTCTATACAATGCCATAAGTAAACGACATATTACAGCAATGTAATATGCGTACATTAGCTTTTTTTAACTCTGTGCTCAAAACACCGCATTCTTTCGCTACTAACGCACGTAGCGTTTTTTTTTTTCAAATACGAAACGAGGTCATCTGATCGCAAGCCAAAAATCAAATTTCGACAATTGTCGTCGTACCCAAATAATTAGTACCGACCGATTAATCCGTTAACAGTGACCAGCACCTTTTAATTTCACACATACAATTTAATATCGCACTACCGTTGAATAATTAATACTGTTCTCAATGAATATTAATACGAATATGAAAAACTGTAGAATAGCAATGAGGACAGGCAGCAATCAGCTGTTGCGGTAGACTGTCCGCCGCCGCGGTGGCGAAACGGACGGGTCGGATCGCCATGGGCAAGGCGAATAACCAAAGTCACTTTCCATTGCTTTACGGCTAGCCACCCCTCCTCTTCCAGTCACCGACGTCACTAGTCTCGGCTATGACAGTATTACACGGATATTATTATGCACGGGACAGCATGGACATTTAAAGCACAATGTTACAGCGACAATGTATGTGTTTAAAATAATGTTGCTATTAGTAAGACGGTCGGCATGGACGTGCTGCTGCTGCTGGTGGTGGTGGTAGTGGTGGCGGTGTAAGCACACGCGTTTCAATCGAACACATTGTCGGGAATGCTAATGAACGATGCGCCGGCCGGACGAGATCGGCGCGGTACAAATAATAATTTATAGCGACGGTGGCCCCCGCCACCACCGCAGCCTTGTACATGTGTACACGACAGAAACGGTCGGTCGGCCGACCGGTCATATGGTAGGAGCCGCCGCCGCCGCCGCATTGGGAATGTTTCATTCATAAAATTTATCTGACAGCAACCACCGCCTCTCACCCCCACCCGTCGTCAAATCGATACTATAACAATCGGCAGCGCGAACTGGCCAACATGAAATTTATCATCGAGTAGGATAACGTTAATATTGTTTAGTTTTTAACGATTATTGTTACATTGAAAGTATTGTCAGGACAATTATTGAATTTACATTATGTTTGACACACTGTCGATGGACACAATTGAGTAATAATGTCGTATATTGGGGCCGGTTTCGATCGGACAGTGTTCAAATTGAGTGACACGGCAAACTTTAATTAAAATGTGTTTGATTCACCTTAAAGAGGCCTTCGAAAAATGTTTAAGACTGCGCAAACAACGACGACGACGACGATAAAAGCAATTATAATAAAAACGATAGTAAAATAAATATAATTTTGAAACGAACAAGCATATATTTTATTTTCAAGGCAAAATCAGAGGACAACGAGTGCTGAAATTTATTTTTGTTGTACTACAGAAACCGATTGCACACGTTTGACATTCTGTTAAGTATAACTTTAAGAGGTTTCTTTGTGCGATTTGTAACAAATTCGGTATCGCCTTTGCTTATATAATTGGTAGGAAACACAATGCCATTATTTATTTACTATACAAGAGGAGCGTTTACACAAAACAAATTTCTTTTTAGTAAACGAAAATTACATTCTACACTGGAAATTGCTGTTTTTAGTTAGGCCGCAGCACGTTTTATATTTAATCAATTTTTTAAATAGGATGTTTTAAAACCAAAAAAACAGCTGTTTT